AATGTGGTTTCTCTCTATTCTCTCTTGTTTTATTTTGTATGATGTTTCTGTTTACATGTGCACTAGCTAGTCAATCTGGCAAAGTTTTTTGCGTCTTTTGCTAAAATTAATACAAAAATAAATATTATGATGATAATAATAATAATAATAATAATATCTCTCCCGTGGTCACCACCTGGTCGTGGTGGGAGAGCCCAGTAATTTTACTGAACCATAGGGCAATGCAGGCTGGAGCACAAGCTCCTGGTAGGGACACCCATGCCAGTAAGGTCTATGGGGAGAAATGAAGCTAAGAGTGACCACACACCCACATTCTGTGGAGATAATTATTATGGTAGTAACCAGATCAAAGTGTGATACCGGCTCGGACGTCGCCCGGGTTAACAAGGTCCGCGTTCGTGGGTTAGGCAGAGGCTCACGTTCGAAAAATAGGCTCCAGTCTCCCTTGGTTACCGGTGGCGAAAGCAGCGCCGGCCCAAGCATGGCTACTGCAATGCCCTCAACAGATGTGAGGAATCAACCTAGCCTTGGTGTTTCTGTGGCAATGCATCCACAGACCACAAAGGCTGGAAAACCACGCCAACGGATGAAATGGACAACAGAAATGAACGAGTTTATCATCCGCACTTACTACACCATCACAAGACTCGAAACAAACATGACAGCATACAGACAACAACTACACCATAGATTCACACAACAATATCCTCACCTCACTGTCACCGAACAAAGGGTTGTTGATCAAAAACGAACAATTATACACAACAACCTTATCCCACAAACAACACTTGAACTTATCAAACAACAGGTTGCTGATCAAATACATCAACAGACAGAAACATTTAACATTAATGAAGATCACGTAACCTGTCAGGATAATCCAGCAACAAGCACTGATTACAGCACACACACAACAAGTACCACTAATGATACTGCAGGCACTTCCCCATCCATCACTGATAACATAGACATAGAATTAGTTAATACGCTCTCACTTATATTTCAGGAAACACTCATTAAATATACTGGTACAGATCCCACACAAAGACCACGAATACCAAAAATCAACACGTCAAAGGCAGTAGGAAAAACACTAGATTATGTAAACACTCACTTACTACCAAACTACATTCATTCAATTTCTACACTTACAGACATTCATACATTAGTTTATGCTGGGGCAGTCACAGTAGTAACACACCATGGACTGAAAATACACTCACAGACAGACACACACAAAACACAATTCTATCATAAGCCTGCCTGGCAGAGAAGAATAGAAACACAAATAAATGACATTAGACAGCAATTAGGCAGGCTGACACAATACACTAAAAACAACATAACACCCAAATTAAAGAAACAACTCAAAAACATTTTCAAGAAAATCAAAACACACACAAAACATGAACATCACAACACACACATTACAGAATACATCGATACACTAAAACAAAAACTCGCAGCCAAAGCACGTAGACTCAAACGATACAAAACATGTACACTACGAAAACAACAAAATAAATTATTCACAAACAATGAAAAACTTTTCTACAGACAAATCAGTACCAAAACAAACACTGATACACAGCACAGTGGCACACCAACAGAAGAAGAACTCACAACTTATTGGTCTTCTCTTTGGTCCAATGCTGTTACACACAATGCTGATGCAGGCTGGATCGAGGAGGAGAACAGAAACTTGCACAACATACCAACTATGCCCTGTGCTGAAATAAACGTACACGACATTCGCTACGCTGTTAACAGAACACACAACTGGAAGACACCTGGTGTAGACAACATTCACAATTTCTGGTACAAAAAGTTTACATCACTGCACCAGGAACTAGCTAAACATCTAACACACATCATCATCAATCCACAAGACATGCCAAAATTTCTTACTCAGGGCATCACCTACATGAAACCTAAAAACAACAAAACCACAGACCCCACACAATACAGACCAATTACATGTCTTCCAACACTCTACAAATTATTGACATCCTGTATCACAAACAAAATATACAAACATGTTGAAGAACACGACATTCTTACAGAACAACAAAAAGGTTGCCGTAGAAATCACAGGGGATGCAAAGAACAGTTACTCATAGATTCAGTCATTCTACGGCAAGCACACAAACAACACAGAAACATACACATGGCATATATAGACTACAGAAAAGCATTCGACAGTGTTCCACACAGTTGGCTGCTACATATTCTACACATGTACAAAATACATCCATCACTCATTGCATTCTTCGAAAACACTATGCAGCACTGGAGAACAACACTACATCTCAGGGTTAGTAACACTTCCATACAAACAAACGAAATATTCATTAGGCGAGGAATTTTTCAAGGAGATTCCTTGAGTCCTCTCTGGTTCTGCCTAGCCCTGAATCCATTATCCAACATGTTAAACAACACGCAATATGGCTACAATATCAGACATGAAAAAACAACACAGTTTACACTGTCACATCTCATGTACATGGACGACATAAAACTTTATGCATCCACACAAAAACAACTTCATCAACTCCTACAAATCACACATTCATACACTAAGGACATACAAATGGAGTTTGGCCTAGACAAATGCAAAAAACTTCACATAGAAAAAGGAATCCTGAAGAAAGAAGATTTTGCACTTGGAAATGGAGACGTTATTGAATCCATGGAAGAGGGCGAGTTCTACAAGTACTTAGGATTCCAACAGGCCAAACTAACAGAACATACACAAATAAAGCAACGATTAATTAAAGAATACCAAAGTAGGTTAAACGCTATACTTAGAACACAGTTAAATGCAAAACACACAGTTAAAGCAATAAACACATATGTCATCCCAGTACTCACATACTCTTTTGGAGTTATACATTGGACTCACACAGATCTCGAGCAACTCCAAAGGAAAACAAGAACAACACTTACTAAGCATAAACAACATCATCCTAAATCCGCCACAGAAAGATTAACCCTTCCACGTAAAGAAGGCGGACGTGGCCTGATTGACATAGTTAACCTTCACTACAAACAAATACAGTCACTGCGAGAGTTTTTCTACAAGAAACAAGAAACATCACAGTTACATAAAGCAGTAACTCTAGCAGACTCAAATAACACACCATTAAACTTACACTCACAACATACAGACATGACACAACATATAAAAAGCATAGACAACATTAAGCAATCATGGGCTCAAAAGGCTCTCCATGGCAGGCATCCTTACGACCTGGCCCAGGATTTTGTTGACAAAACTGCGTCAAACAGCTGGTTAGATCGGGGATGCCTCTTTGGGGAGACGGAAGGATTCATGATTGCCATACAGGATCAGGTCATAAATACTAAAAACTACAGAAAACACATACTCAAAGATACAACACTCACAAATGACACATGCAGAAAATGTCACATCATGCCAGAAACTATACAACACATCACTTCTGGTTGCAAGCTCTTGGCACAGACAGATTACTTACATAGACACAATCAAGTAGCAAATATAATACACCAAGAGCTTGCAAAGAAACACAAATTGGCAGACATCCACGAACCATACTACAAGTATATTCCACAGACAGTATTGGAAAATAACACGCACAAAATGTATTACGACAGAGCCATAATCACAGATAAAACAATTTACCACAACAGACCAGACATCACACTCATTGACAAACACAATAAAATCACATACATTATAGACATAGCCATTCCAAACACTCACAATGTACAAAACACATGCACTGAAAAAATTAGCAAGTACACAGAACTCGCCCAGGAAATAAGGCATCTGTGGAGGATGGATAGGGTGCTTATTGTACCTGTTGTTCTCTCCTGTACAGGTGTGATACCACACACACTACACAAAAGCCTGGGAACATTACAATTGAATAGAAATACATACATCACACTACAGAAGGCCACTATATTGAATACATGTCATATTGTTAGGAAATTCCTTAATACAGGCACTGACACACACATTTAATTTTAGTTTTGTGTTGGTTGCTATGCCTTGACTCTGGTCCGGCATAGTACACAACCACCGGTGTGTACCGAGTATAACCCACTAAACCCAACACATAATAATATTGTTAATAATTAAAAAATACAGTTCTTAAAATAAATTGTTTATTCGAATTCATTAAATTTTCATATTTTTAAATTTGTTCACATAAAGTCTTTTATAAATAATAGTATGTATTAATTAACTAATTAATAATTATATATTTTGAACCTAAGGTTTTTAGGGTTTCATAAAAAAAATTTTTTTTGTTAAAATTTTTCTATGAAATCATGCCAAAATATTACATAAGATAGGGAAGGGGGATCAAAGAAAGTATTACGGTTTCTTACACGGTGGTGGGTGAGGGTCTAGAATGGCTGAAATCGCCCTTACTTAATTTAAGGATGGCCCCTAATGAATTTATTAAGAGGACTTACATATTATTTAAAATTTGTTTATGACAAGATTGAGATATTTGTCTAATATGTAACATAAATGAATTTTGAAAACTGTTAAATAATTTTACCATTAATTTGGCAAATCTTAATGTATTTAAATGAATAGGATTTTATCAACCTGAGAATTAATCTTCTTGAGTTATTGCTTGTTATATACTTGATCGTAAGTTTAATTTTTGTTTCAATTATAAATGTTTCTATTTGTTAATTTTGGTTAGGGTTGCTGTATGGGGAATATATTTAAGAGATTTGTTAAACAGTTTTTAATTTTTCCTTCCCTGTGGGCACTAAGAGGGACTTTTGAATTTGACCAGGCTTGCAATGGTGATGCAAATAATATTTTGTTTTTAAATATTGTATCAACAAATGATTAGAATTATAATAATTGAAAACTTTTCTGAATTTCAAAGATAGACTAATTAATTATTATATTAAATAATGGATTTATTATTATTTAAATTTAACTATGAATTATGATTTCCTTCATGATTAAGAATCTAAATTTTATTTTTCAGTATTCATTCAGAATTATTAATATATGATTGGAGTAATTTTGGAGATGTGGAAGTAGTAAGCAATTTTGATTATGTTAATTAAATTAATAAACTATATTTTAATGTTAATATTTTTAAGCAATGCAAACACATTTTGTTTTATGTCAATGAAAAATTAATCTTGAAACGTTCACATTTTAAAAATAAATTTTAGTATAATTTTCATCTATTTTTTATTAATAAAAAGATGTTGCATAAAAGATTGTTGATAAAAATAGTAAATATATAATAGAATTTGTAGTAATGAAATCTGATGTATTATATTTATTACATATGATTACAGCCATTATTGCCAAAATTCCTGCATTATTATACATATGTTTTCACAAAGATTCTTTGAGTTGTTTTGTCATTATCATTAAAAAATAGTAAAAAATTTAATTTAATATTACATTTAATATTATTTATCAAAATTATTATAAGTAACAAATTAATGTTAACTATAACTTAAAATCATAAATAGTTTTATTTCCCGGAAAACAGAGAATACTATGTATATATTATTCAGCTTACTAATACTTAGAATGAAAAATTCTAAGATAGGAAAATAGTAATTAAGTATTATCTTTTCCAAAAAATATAAAAATGAATAATTTGACATTGAATGTCAAACATGCTTAACAGATATTTTTTAAATATCTTTATGGCTTATCATCAGACATACAGAATAGCCCAAAAGTCGGTTAACCAAAATATATCTTAGTTAATAATTAAAATTGATTTCAAACTACTGCATGTTGTTATTTGTGGCTCAGTTATTTCATTGGAAGTAATAACATGCAGCTATTCAAACCAGTTTTCACATCCATAAAATAATCTTAAAAGTATGTCTTTGTTAACTGGCTTTTGGACCACTCTGTATTTGATATCAGTTTTCTAAAAAAAACAAACAAGTAAAAACAGAAAGAAAAGAAAGTATATATAGTCATTGTATAGGATTAAATGAAAATTAAACTTTGAATACGTTAAATTTGTCATAAATTTAATAAAATCTGTGAAAACTGATATAGTAAATATTTATATAATTTTAAAATTAGATTATTTGACATATTTACAAATTTAGAAATTTTACATATTTACAAATTTATCAACAGGTATATAAAAATTTATTAGTGTTATAATGAATCATTTAAAATAAAACAATTTTAATGCTTACAATTGCTTAAACATAAATGACTGAAATAGTAGCATATTATTAGAAAGCAAATTCACTGAAACTCTTATTAATTTGAATTCCAAGAGACTCGGGAAAAAAATTTAAGTTATCAGAAATGTTTAATAAAGTAATAAAAATAACAATATAATTTTTACAAAGGGAAAACTATCATATTTATTGAATCATAAAAATTAAGCTTAAAAAAAATCATTAAATTTCAAATCTGAATCTATCTTACCAAGTTTGTGAAAACAGAATGAAAATGTAAAATGATTTTGGGACTCTAGGACAATAATGGTTAACATTTCAGGAAAGTTTTACTATGAGTTGAAAATCAAGATATTTAATATTCAACTATCAAAGTTACTTTGCCCAAGTCAGCTGTTTTACATCATGGGTATGGAAGTATAAGTGGCAGTGGCATGCCATCCTTGGAAGCAGTGGAAGTGCCACTTCCTTGTATTTTCTAAAATATAAAAACATATTGTGCAATTATTTTCATATTTTAACATACTTTGAATTAATTAAAATTAATACAGTAGTCTCGAAAACTCGGCCTAATGTGGACCGAAGGGTGACCGAGTTTGTGAAAATGCTGGGTTATCGGGAATGGGGTTAAAAAAAATAAGTATGAGTGTTTNACTTAGCCTCAAAATCAGCTTTTTCCTTTCCTAGTATGCCAGTATGGCCAGGAACATATATAAAAGTTACCTTATAAATAATAGTACATATTAATTAACTAATTAATAATTATATATTTTGAACCTAAGGTTTTTAGGGTTTCATAAAAAAAATTTTTTTTGTTAAAATTTTTCTATGAAATCATGCCAAAATATTACATAAGATAGGGAAGGGGGATCAAAGAAAGTATTACGGTTTCTTACACGGTGGTGGGTGAGGGTCTAGAATGGCTGAAATCGCCCTTACTTAATTTAAGGATGGCCCCTAATGAATTTATTAAGAGGACTTACATATTATTTAAAATTTGTTTATGACAAGATTGAGATATTTGTCTAATATGTAACATAAATGAATTTTGAAAACTGTTAAATAATTTTACCATTAATTTGGCAAATCTTAATGTATTTAAATGAATAGGATTTTATCAACCTGAGAATTAATCTTCTTGAGTTATTGCTTGTTATATACTTGATCGTAAGTTTAATTTTTGTTTCAATTATAAATGTTTCTATTTGTTAATTTTGGTTAGGGTTGCTGTATGGGGAATATATTTAAGAGATTTGTTAAACAGTTTTTAATTTTTCCTTCCCTGTGGGCACTAAGAGGGACTTTTGAATTTGACCAGGCTTGCAATGGTGATGCAAATAATATTTTGTTTTTAAATATTGTATCAACAAATGATTAGAATTATAATAATTGAAAACTTTTCTGAATTTCAAAGATAGACTAATTAATTATTATATTAAATAATGGATTTATTATTATTTAAATTTAACTATGAATTATGATTTCCTTCATGATTAAGAATCTAAATTTTATTTTTCAGTATTCATTCAGAATTATTAATATATGATTGGAGTAATTTTGGAGATGTGGAAGTAGTAAGCAATTTTGATTATGTTAATTAAATTAATAAACTATATTTTAATGTTAATATTTTTAAGCAATGCAAACACATTTTGTTTTATGTCAATGAAAAATTAATCTTGAAACGTTCACATTTTAAAAATAAATTTTAGTATAATTTTCATCTATTTTTTATTAATAAAAAGATGTTGCATAAAAGATTGTTGATAAAAATAGTAAATATATAATAGAATTTGTAGTAATGAAATCTGATGTATTATATTTATTACATATGATTACAGCCATTATTGCCAAAATTCCTGCATTATTATACATATGTTTTCACAAAGATTCTTTGAGTTGTTTTGTCATTATCATTAAAAAATAGTAAAAAATTTAATTTAATATTACATTTAATATTATTTATCAAAATTATTATAAGTAACAAATTAATGTTAACTATAACTTAAAATCATAAATAGTTTTATTTCCCGGAAAACAGAGAATACTATGTATATATTATTCAGCTTACTAATACTTAGAATGAAAAATTCTAAGATAGGAAAATAGTAATTAAGTATTATCTTTTCCAAAAAATATAAAAATGAATAATTTGACATTGAATGTCAAACATGCTTAACAGATATTTTTTAAATATCTTTATGGCTTATCATCAGACATACAGAATAGCCCAAAAGTCGGTTAACCAAAATATATCTTAGTTAATAATTAAAATTGATTTCAAACTACTGCATGTTGTTATTTGTGGCTCAGTTATTTCATTGGAAGTAATAACATGCAGCTATTCAAACCAGTTTTCACATCCATAAAATAATCTTAAAAGTATGTCTTTGTTAACTGGCTTTTGGACCACTCTGTATTTGATATCAGTTTTCTAAAAAAAACAAACAAGTAAAAACAGAAAGAAAAGAAAGTATATATAGTCATTGTATAGGATTAAATGAAAATTAAACTTTGAATACGTTAAATTTGTCATAAATTTAATAAAATCTGTGAAAACTGATATAGTAAATATTTATATAATTTTAAAATTAGATTATTTGACATATTTACAAATTTAGAAATTTTACATATTTACAAATTTATCAACAGGTATATAAAAATTTATTAGTGTTATAATGAATCATTTAAAATAAAACAATTTTAATGCTTACAATTGCTTAAACATAAATGACTGAAATAGTAGCATATTATTAGAAAGCAAATTCACTGAAACTCTTATTAATTTGAATTCCAAGAGACTCGGGAAAAAAATTTAAGTTATCAGAAATGTTTAATAAAGTAATAAAAATAACAATATAATTTTTACAAAGGGAAAACTATCATATTTATTGAATCATAAAAATTAAGCTTAAAAAAAATCATTAAATTTCAAATCTGAATCTATCTTACCAAGTTTGTGAAAACAGAATGAAAATGTAAAATGATTTTGGGACTCTAGGACAATAATGGTTAACATTTCAGGAAAGTTTTACTATGAGTTGAAAATCAAGATATTTAATATTCAACTATCAAAGTTACTTTGCCCAAGTCAGCTGTTTTACATCATGGGTATGGAAGTATAAGTGGCAGTGGCATGCCATCCTTGGAAGCAGTGGAAGTGCCACTTCCTTGTATTTTCTAAAATATAAAAACATATTGTGCAATTATTTTCATATTTTAACATACTTTGAATTAATTAAAATTAATACAGTAGTCTCGAAAACTCGGCCTAATGTGGACCGAAGGGTGACCGAGTTTGTGAAAATGCTGGGTTATCGGGAATGGGGTTAAAAAAAATAAGTATGAGTGTTTCCTCAGAAAATACTGTACTGTACTTGTATGTATTGTTTACTTGAGAATACAACAGAGAATAAACTGCCCAAATACCCTTAAACAAAGGAAAAGTACGTCCTTTATGAAGGCATAGAGCCTTTACTACATGAAAATGAAAATTAATGAATACACTGTGTACAGTAATTTACCTGATAAGACAGACCTCAGAAAAATACTTTATGAGGCATAAAGCTGTCTATAATGAAAATTAATTAACTAAGGATTTTTTTGCCCTGCCAGGGTGTGGCCGAGTTATCTGGACTACCGGGTTATCGAGTGCCGAGTTTTCGAGACTCTACTGTATTTAATTATAACTCTATTAACTTATAACTTATGTATCTTATTACAAATTTATGTATCTTATTACAAATTTCTATACTACATGTGAAAAAAATGATAAGATTGCTATTGTATATTCGAATATCAGTAGTCGAATGAAAGTGCTGTATTGTCAAATACGGGACAGCTTCCACAGTGAAAATATCTGAATGGTGTAA